CTGTCTGCCACGCTCACGCCCAATTTAGATAAGGCTGCTTTATTTGCAAGCACTTCAATTCACTCGCAAAATACTCGCAAAAAACGATGGAAGCAGCATACGCAATATTGCATAGTTAAATAGTAGCCAAAGTTGCCACTAATACACATATACATACTCACACAAACAGCGCTGCGCTCATTCCTTGCACGTTATCCTTCTACTTTTCTAATCTGATTTCCAGTCATCGCTGCAGGCAGACAATTTCGCACAGGAAAAAACTCGCGCCAATGTCACCAGCTAACCTCAAAGTACCCAGCAATGCCATTTTTGTTATTTTCACTTTGCATTGTGTGCAAAAAATTCCAGTCACGTGCATTGCCACACGCCACAGCACGCAGCCAAGCCACCGAAGAGCAAGTGTGCGGGCAGCGAGCGACGGTGTGGAAGTGAGCAACCGTTGCGGTGTCACATAAGCAAATTTGTAGTTGGTGCTGGCAACACCCCGAACACTTCGTGCCTATGTAACTTGTTTAATTCTCAACTAGCTTCTAGCTACCTTCGACTTTTCTCTTTTATTCCAATGCGTTCATTTTTTTACCTCTCGACTTTCTTTTTCTAAGATGAAATTTAATTTTTGTTTAGTGTCAGTGAGGCGTGTCAGTGGAGTTGCAGGCAAAAAAAAATGAAAGCAAAAACAAATTGGCGACAACAAATATGCTCGGTATGAGTGGCATGAAAAAAGTGTGCATATTATATATTCTCTAACGGTAATGTTGTTAGAAAAATTTTGCGTTAGCGTCAATTTAGTGTTGCCCTTCTTGACAAATAAAGCAAACAGCACAGCGAAAACTGCGCAAAACAAGAAAGACACCGTGGCAAATGTTGATTAGATTTACATTTTGCGTGTGGAACGTGCGAGTTTTAGCAAGATGACTCCCGAAAGCCTCGCAAACCGCGTGAACTAGCAGTGGATTAGTATACATTAGAATTTCGCTTCGAATCTGTTAAACCAAGTGCATATTAAAAGGATATATAGACTCGGCTAAAAATAAATGTGGACTAGGCAAAAAATGTGTTCACGTCAGCACACTGGCTTACCTCGGTAAAGCTCTCATGGCCGTCTAAGCTGTTCATCAATTAAAATGCTATTAAGTGGACTAGTATAATTCTATTATTTCGCGCACTTTAGTAGCTACATTGTTAAGGCAATTTAAATAAAAGTATTTTTATAACATAGTCAGGAATCTTAAGTTAACAGTCATATGGTACTACACAAAATAAAAAGCAGAATCATTGTGGCAATATAGCGCGATATCAAAAAAGATTAATCTATGGATACTAAGTCTCAATCGTTTCTACAACACATCCGAATCTGATGTGATGATTACCCGTCAAGAACTGTCAGCTCAACATGCTACCATTTTGGGCTTTTATAATTGTTCTAACATGAGTTCACGAATTTTTTTTTACACAAAAATACAAACAAATGACTCTACGGACCTTAAAAAAATTATAAAACCCGCATGAATTGGCATCAGTAGTAAAAAGTCAGCATTCACTTCTCAAGACGCGGAGCTACATTCAGTAGGCAAGCGCATTAACTTTGAGCTTGTATAATATAGGTGTAGGACTGTAACTAACAGAAACAACAATAATTTCAATCACTTCTTCTTCTCTTTTTCTCTCTTCCTCTTATTAAAATCAGACTTATATGTCTATGTTGGTATGTAATGCAATATTTTAATCATCTAGGGCTTATATGCAGGTTTGAAAGGTCTCTGCCTTATAAACTTAGCAATACCTTTTAACTATTTTAAAACGTTAGATTAGGTAGTGTTTTGAAAACGTCATAACATGACCATCTAGTTTCAATACAATACATTTTTGGCTATTCCTTCGAAAAACTCTTTCATGTCTACGCTAAAGTGACGTCATACAAAAATTTTTTTTGCGTATTAGAAGAAATAAGAAAAAATTACAAAAATGGAAGCTAGTAGTTCTCGAAATCTGTGACTTAAGTATTAGCAACAAATAGAAATTAAAGAAATAAGAACAGAATGGCGCCGTAAATTCGAAAACTTATAAAATTAAACTGAATATTTACTTCTAAAATTAAATTAAATGTTTACTGATAAATATACAACAAACCTACACAAACTATTGTAAGTTTTTTTTGCTTTCAACTAATCAACTTTATTTACTACATTTACAGTTAACTTTGAATCCACACCCAGCCATATTGTTCAGCGCATAATTTCATAAATTCTCTTTGTTAATCACTAGCTTCACTTGAGTGCATAATTTCCAGCGTCATTGGCCTTTAGAAAAGCAATAAATATAGACACTTAGTGTGTATGTACACCATGTAGTGCATTGACAACACAAATAAGTAGTGCGCCCCACCCACAGTGCTCCTTAATTTGCACACTGCATGCATTATCGTAAATTTCTATGCAAATGTGCGCTTGCAACGCCGCAAATAAGGAGTCGCTACACTTACAAGTCGCTTATCAGTGCTCAATAGCTTGCACAAATATAAACTAATAGACATACATATGTACAAATGTGGATAAGAATAAAAATAGCTAAGTGCACACTGATAGCCTTCCGGCTACATAAATAATGTAAACTTGCTTATGAGCGTTTGTGTGTCGCGTTGTTTGCAGTTAACAAGTTCACTCAGTCTTTGTGGCTTCAAGTTCACTCGCTTGTAAATAATTTCTACCTTGAAGCCAAATCAATATTTTCCATCTAAGCATTTTTGGAAAGTTTGCAAACTACATACATGCATTTATATATGTATATGTATATGTATGTATATTTTTGCATATATATAAATATAATAGCTGTATGTATCCGATTATGTGTTAGGTATTGCTGTTGCACCCACCGGCTGTCATACACATGCAGATATTATCATCTCTGCGGGAGGAAGTATAGTTATCGAATGTGTAATATAACTTACACATATACATACATAGCTATATGCATACATACAAAAATGACAGTGCTAGTGTGCTTCTTATGCGGAAAAATATTTGTTTCGCATTAGGGTAGGTGTAAAAATAAAATTTTCGAAAACTTATAAAGCTTATATTTTTATTACCCTGTATACCGATAATAATCTTAGCGATTCTCCCATTAAGTTGTGTAGGTACTATAAGTTTGCCTTTAGTCGCAAATATCCTAAAAGAAATATTAAAAAATATATTTTTATTTTCTACAATTTTTTCATATTTGTTCTTAAACTATAATCTGCATTAAAATTTGAATTTCCTTTATATTAGCTCATATTATTTTATTTATTTGTGTTTTCTTTGTTTTATTTTACTTTATTTTATTTTGTTAGCTTTTATTTTATTTTATGGTATTTTACTTTATTATATTTTTTTATTATATTTCTTATTGTATTTTTTGTTATTTTATTTTATTTTATTATTTTAATTTATTTTAATGCCTTATATGTTTTTCAAAATATTCTCCTATTTATGGTACATCCCTTACCTCAACGTTATTTGATTTTGACAACATCTGAGAATAAATATCATACACACTCATATACACTACCTGTATTTTTTTGAACCAGTAACTAAGTTGCCGCTCTTTCACAAAAATTTATAAATTCCTTATTAGTACTCATATCACAGTTAATCAATAAAATTGAGTATATTTTTAATATAGTTGTTGTTGCTATTTTCCAAGTCTTCGCGTATAACGAGAGATTACATATGCACAGTTATTATAAAGCAAGAAAAAACGTTAACTTCGGTTGCACTGAAGTTGGAATACCCTTCACAAATAAACAAGTTTTCCTTACAAGAACTTGATTCTAATCTTTCAGTTTGCATGACAGCTATATGCAATAGTGATTCAGTAACGACGGTTCCGTCAAATGAGCAGCTTCTTAGAGAAAAAAAGAGGTGTGCGAAATTTCGGAGCAATATCTCAAAAACTAAGGTATAGTCGCGTATATATGTATGGTCTATATATTTTATAGGGTCTCTGACGTTAACTTCTGTGTCAAACATGTTCATGGTATAAAATAATATTTTGTTTTCGATTTTATGTTCACTCAAGCTTTTAGCGAGTGCTGCTTGTATAGATTTAAATTTCCGAACGATAAGCTTATTATAAAGGAACCCAGCAAGGAAATATGTTAGAAATATATATAAAAAATATTGCTATTAATATTGATATACTTCTCCGAAAAAGACAGTTATGTACTTTTATACTTCTAAGCAGCTTCCCAAAAGCGAAGGGACATACCATATATAAATATTTCAAATATTTTAATTTTATATGATTTTTCTATGAGACCGGCGTATATAGATAAATATATATTTTGTACCAAATTTATGGTGCAAGCTTCTTTTCCTATTAGTTTTATAAAATTTCCTCATTTAAACTCTAATTCCCTGATGTTAAATTTTTCTTACAGGGTCGCTTCGCCGTATCTTACACCGCCTTATCTACATAATATACATCGAATACTGCTTAAGAGCTGCTTTTTCTTAATGCATGTGCATATAAATCTGATTTTTACTAACTCTCGCTGCCACATTTATAAGCACATGGATTAAAACAGCGCTGTAAGCAGATTGACAAAGTTTTCTTTGTATATAATTTTAAATAGGCAAATGCAAATATTGCTGGTTGGCTGAAATTATGAATTTGTATCCATGCATACGTATGTAGATCGTATATATTTATTTTCATAATAATCCATCTAAGTTAAAAAATATGAAATACAGTATCAAAAAAATTAGGCTTTCAACTTCTACTCCGTTTAAGTTGTTTGCATATTTCTGCCCTAAAAAGTACTCCCTATTTGATCTTTAGAACACATGATCCCTTTTGAGGAGAAGAGAGTTTGTGTGAGAATTCTCAAAAAGATCTTCGGAACTCAAAGATCACTCTTGAAGATACAATTTGCATGAAAAGCCGCAAAAAGATCAACAAGCCTTTTATAACGGTTCAATGACAACTAGACGACTCAAAATAAATATTAATGTATAACATATTACTTCCAACTTTCTTCTCTTTACTAAGAAACAAAATACACTAAATTTTAATATTTTAAAATATTTAATTAATATAAATAACATATCCAACAGTCTTTACGAGCACAATCTCTGCTACTCTAACTGTTTTTTGAGCGCGCACAGTTCACGTAAAAAGCAATCGCGTTGCTCCCGTCGTGTCTGCAATTGCGCTCTCGGCACCATATCCTCACACTCAGCGGCAATCTGCGACAAAGTTGCACCGGCCTCCATCTTGGGTGTCGGACCGTAAGTCTGACTTACAGCATAAACTTCAGCGCCAAAACGTTGAAAATAATCCGACACACCATCGGCATTCAAATGTGCGGTTTCGAGCGGACCCAAAAGTGCATAACGCAAGCCTAAACCCTCAGTCACAACACGATCTACATCGGCTACACTCACCACACCGTCGGCAACTAAGCGCCAAACTTCATTGAGTATAGCATATTGTATGCGATTTGTGGCGAAACCCTCGATCTGTCGTGTGAGTGTCACCGGTTTTTGGCCAATCTCCAACATGAGCTCACGTGTGCGTGCCACCACATCGGCTTTAGTCCAAGGTGCAGGTACAATTTCTACAAGCGGTATGTAGTAAGGTGGATTAAGTGGATGCGCAACAAGCACCTGGTATTAAAAAAATTGTTTAAATTTTTTTTTCTTTTAAGAAACTTCAACTACTGTTGCACCCACTTTCTCACGATGCTGTTTCATTTGTTCACTAAAGAGCGACGGCATATATGTGCTTGTCGAGCTAGCCATAATCGTCTCGGAAGAGACAATGTCAGCTAGCTCTGTATATAGCGTACGCTTCCATTCAAGACGTTCCGGTATGCATTCCTGCAGATAGATGGCATTGCTTACCAGTTCACCTATATCAGTGGTTACGCTGATACAACTAAACTGCTCAGCTGGACTGAGTGTGCCGCGGAGAGCTCCTTTTGCTTGGAGCGCATACAGTTCCTTCTCAATTTCCTTTAACGCGTTGCTAGTTTGCTCGGGCAATATGTCGTACAGCATTACTTTGTACCCGACAGAAGCGAATAGCATGGACCAGGCACGTCCGATGAGGCCACTGAAGTTTTACAAGGTAGAATTCGCTCATTAATATAACATATTATATATTCAAAGAGCTTTCATATTTAGAAATATTATAAATTTTTCACACAATTTTTTTATTCGTTTTTTTCTTTTTTGTTTTTGATTCAAGGGGAAAAATTTTTTCTGGAACTCACCTGCCTATAATACCGATTTTCTCATTCTTCATTTTATGCACAAAGCCACAAAGAAAATTTATTTAAGTCCAATTAAAATCGTGCGCGTGATGCATTCGCCAATAAGCTCGCCGCAATACTACAAATAAATTTCTTTTAAATTATTGCTTGCCGAAGATTTCTCTAATACATTGAATTATGTGCTCTTGTACAACATAATGTTTCTTATTACTTTATCGCTAAACTAAGAGACTCTCATTTGCAGAATTCTATAAAAAATACAGCTTAATAAGTTAAATACAGCTTTATAAGTTAATACTCCAGAATACATTATTTTATAACGTGTTCACACAAATATACATACATATGTACATGTATATTAATTGTTTAAAAATTCTACAGCATTTAAAGAGCTCAGCTTATGTGTATCAAGTACTAAGGTCCGGGTTTAAAATTGCGTATCGTTTAAAAAATCAGAACTGTTTGGCGAAATTCGTTTTTATTATTCAACATGTTAAGCCTCACTCTCGCCCTTTTTTCAAAGAATTGCGATGGGCCAGATGATACGAGGGATATCTAAGAAATTCTAAGCCCATTTTATACTATTTCACCTTCGATTTAATCGGTTGTTGGTGAGCTCAGCCGGTACTCACTTTAATCAAAGATCAAACTGACCAATTTCCTGTGATGTCATTAGAATGTCAGATATCAAGATCAACCTTATTTTTCAGCAATCCAAAATAATTTAAGGGTATTTTTAATCTTAATATGTATTAACTTTCTGTGAAGCTCAGATGCTCTACGTAAAGATCGTTTGTGCTTACAATATTTATATTGCATGCATAAATTATTCCTAAACTGACACTTGCTTATGTTTTTTATGAGAAATATATATTTATGCACACATGTTTACATACATGCATGTTGTACATGCAGGCATACATATAAGCATGCAAGCGTATAGATTATTATTTAATTTATATAATGATAATTTAATCACTTTTGTTCTAATTTTAATAATTTTATTGCTCAATTTGTAATTTATGGCTATTTTCATATGCTTGTGGTATATGCAAATACATGCATAATTATATACAGATATATGTATATTTGATTCAATTCAATTATCGCCGCCTTCTGCATGCGAATCACGTTCACTCACTCGGTTCATACATTTCTTACGGTTCGTTGAGGTCAATTTTGATTGTTATTTGTGTGTAAGTGCACAAATATGAAGTAATGAAAAAAATAATAAATAATACGATTTGTTGATAATGGACATTTAAATATTAATTGTTACTTTAATTGTTTGAAACGACTTTGAAAATATGAATTGGTTTGATTTATGAGCTCAATTGCCTGATTTTTATAAGACAAATTAATTGATGTAAGAAATAGTAAACAACCGAAATTTATTTGCAAACTATATTGATAATTGCATATTCTAACTGTAATTTAAAAGCAAAAATTTTAATTTATTTACTAAATTAACTAAATTTACTCAAATACAAGTCAGTGCATCATTAGTAAAAAGTAATTTTTAGTGGCTCACTTGTTAGATTAGGCTCATAGGCATATCAGTTTAGGAATGAAAAAAATTTTCCAACCCACCGCTTGACTTTTATCTATATATTGTATATATAAATTTTTTCAATTAAACTTTTTCTTGCTGCTCGAATATTATAAATCAATCTCAAACCTTCTCTTTTCTTAATAGAAATTCAAAACCCCTCTACTCTCAAAAATCTAAAGCAAATTGTCTCATTTGTCATTTGACAACTTATCCCGCGCGCAAATAGCAAATCCTTTCATTACTGCTCATTTCATCATAAATAATGCAGTCAACGTCTGGGGCCGTTGGCAGATCCGCCAGCTGACGACGCGCATTAATGAAATTAATTTTCCTCATTGTTGCACATTTCCAACACAAAGCCACGGCGCTCCCCTTAGTCCATCGAAAATTATGCGTTTTTGTCGTACTTCTCTTTATAGCTGTTGTTGCTTTTGTTGCCAAGTTGGCTATTCATTTATACACCAACACATTTATTTATGCATTTGTTGTTCTTTTTTTGTTTGTAAAATTTTGTTAGCCGTAACCGGAAACGGTCAAATGAACTACGCAGTGTCGCATTTCCCTTGAAAGGCAGCGTTGCTTTTAATACTTTCCTTTTTTGCTGTTGTTGGTTTTTTTTTTTTTTTTTGAACGGTATTGCTTAGTTTGTGATTTTTTTTTGTCTGCTTCGGCTTATAAGTCACTGCCGCCGCATTTTGACAAATTAATTCAAGCCGTTGCTGTGGTTTTTTTCACTTTCTTCATTGGTTTCTTTTCAAATTCGTCGCTTTGCTGGGCGCTGCCTGGCTGCGGCAATGAAAAATGAAACTTTTCATTATGCCAAAAGAAGGAAATGTTTGAAAACCTGCGTAAAAAAGGAGTTCCTTGCCTGCTCAGGTTTCTTATCCTTCATTGCTCCGGCACCGGCTTCGACTACGGCTGCTGCTTCCTGTTTTTCTGTTTTTGTCCTGTCATTTCCGGGCGCCTTTTACAATTTTTGTTTTAGTTTTTTTTATGGTTTTTACATATTTTCTTCATTTGCTTTCCTTGTGACATGTTATGGCAGGGCGTCACTTCAAATGCAACGTTACGACGCTAATGAATTAGTTATTCTGCGCTCGGTTATGGGCCGTTGCTGGTGGAAAAGCGTAAATGAATGGATAGAATTTTGCCCTTTGATTTGATTTTTACTAAGAAAAAGGGTAAGATGAAGTAGAAATTGTAGACTGCGGTATCGTTTGTGGTAATGCTTACATTAATTCGGATTTTATTAATTGTTAAATTCTTTTAACTAGGGTGAGAAAATGAGAAAAATATTTAAGAGATAAAAAAAGTTTTAATTTTTTAAATATTTTTTCACAGTTCTGGAAATTAATTATAAGGAGCTAAAACAATAGCTAATAAACTTAAATTCCGTATTCAAAATGCTGAAGATTCCAATTGGCATAAAAGAGAATAAAAAAATTTAAAAAAATATTTAAAATTTTTAAATTATTTTATTATTATACTCATTCACACCGTTTTCTGGAATATGGCTTTTATTTCACTTACAAATTGCAACTTTCACACTAGTTATGTGCCATTGCAATTTTTACACAGGTATGTGACCTGCAATAAAGTCAACAAGCAAAATCTTGCAAACGCACGAAAATAGGTGGAAATAGATTAAAGTGGGCATCTAAGCAGGGTCAGCACAGAAAAGATTGCTCAATAAATCAAGAATCAATCAATATTAGAGCCATCGACATGAAAAACCAAGACTCATCTCTATGCTTCGACTATTAAAAAAAAACTGAAAAATTTAAAGCTTCATCTAGGCTTGACTTACGAAAAAAATTAGCAAAACAAACACGTTGTGTCAGTAAAATGTAGGGAAAAAAAATAGTAAAGGTAAGAGAACGGGCTACGATACCAAAAACCAAACACACGTATCAGTATATACAGAAGACACGTGTCACGCACCCATACGAATGCATATGCAGCAATATTAGATAGGTTCCACGCAGTTTTTTCTTGCCTTCGAAGAAAAGCTAAAATTTCATAGCACATCAACAGGCGCTATGGCGTATGGATAGTCAGCCGGCCAAACAGCCAGCTAAGCTTTGTTACCAATACCATTAAGTTGAGCACGGTCGAATCAAAACACAGCGCACAACAACAGTTTTTTTGCATTCTTGCACTGCAGTAAACGTCAAGCCTATACGTGCTCTTCGCAGAAACGCACCACACGACAGCATACTTTTTCATAGCGAGCTTACTTTTTCTGGTCGTCGTTGTTTTAAAACCGTCAAATGCGCTACGCAATGCCGTGAATTCGCTACTATCGCAGTTAGTTGTTGAAATGTGTAGCATATTTATAGGCGCTTAACATGTCGAAAACATCGGCAGTTTTTTACTTGTTTTTTTTTTGTTTGTGGGGTGTGGGTTCGCTGAGTTTGCTTGGTTTGCTGTGTTGAAGGTTTCCAAGTTGCTGTTATTTTTGGGTTTTTATGGCTTTCTTAGCTTGCAGCGGTATGTGTTGCATATCAATTGAAAGTGATTTATCCTTTTTTAGCTCCTTTGGCATTACTTTTGTATTGAATGTTATTTCTCGCTTTCAAATTCTCAACTCAAGCAGTTTACATATTAAGTGGCAGCATTTTATTGCCGCTGCTGCGGTAAACCCAATTTTCAACTTATGCCACCAATAGGTTAGCCTTTGCTTGACATTGAACTGTTGCTTCTTTTCCGAGTATCGATGAGTGCTTGTTCAATTTAATGCTTGGCATACCCTTTTACAAATCTAATTTTTCCTTTTAAGTAACCTCTACCAGCTACGGCTTTAACTCACTCCTACCCTCTAACTCACACCCAGCATTTTTTTACTTTCACTTCTAGCTTCCACGCACATTCTTCATATATATATTTTTATAGCCTTTTTAATATGTGCCTTAACAACCCTGTTCATTTTGCGAACCCTTCAACTTTTGCCCACAATAACTTCACCCCAAGGATCCATTAATGGCTGTGCTAAAAAGTGCTTATCCTCATTGATATTAGTTATGAGTTTTCAACACTTCAATCACCAGCTCATACTCTCTTTCAATTTAACACCAATTTTTTCAGTCTCTTCTGTACATCGACCACACTTTTTTACCCTTCCCACTTGCACCGCGTTTGCACAATACAACTATCTTTAAAATTATTATATTTAATACTCATATGTGTCACTTTACTTGCTCTAAGCGTCACAAAAGCATCACCAGAGTGTAATTACCTCCACTCCCCGTCCGTCTGTGCATAAATTTGATTTATTGCAAACAAAAACTAAAACCAATTTACATATTTTCTGGGAAATTATTGCAAAAAAATTTCCGTGTCTCACATACCAATTAGCATAAGACAAGCGGTTGACCAGCTGTTATCAGTTAAATGACAGTTTCAGTGAGCGATATTTTAAACAGTTATTTTTCATGTTGATTGGATTGGTTTTGAGTTTAAATTTACAATGCAAATTGTTGGAAAAATGTTTGCGCACAAATCAAAAATTCATTAAAAGTGCTGGTAATCGTTTAATGCATTTTTAACTGTATCGTGTAGAGAATAGCGTGAGCGTAACATGCAAACTAGCATTTTCGAAAAAAAAAACAATTTAGCATATGCAAATTTACAGCAAGAGTATGAAGCCCGGTTCGGTACTACGCTGGATAAAATAACAGTGATCCCTTTGACAATAACCACAATCATGTAGAGTTTAATATCTTCTAAGGCTAATTTAAAAACACCTAACTAGTTTAGACTGACTATACTTATAATTTTTTCAAATACATCGACATTTCGTGACTATTTTTTCCGTACTGGTTACGTCAGAGGCGTTTTCGTTAGTGAAGTGTAACATTTCATTCGGTTGATAGTCTTAAAAAAAAGTTTTCTAGGCCTTATCAAGCCTTACCTTGATTTCTGACTGTCTACTCGCTATATATCTATGGTAGTTTCAAGCAACAGAGATTATCTTTTCACCAACAAAGTTTGACCCAATAAACTATCTTTATAGCTTTTGTAGTTACATAGCTGCAAATCTCATGACAAAATTTTATAAACCTAATTCTAAGTCAATTTAAACTGGCTAGCTAGTCTAATCTGCAACCCTCAAGAAGATTGAATGAGATTTTACAATAGTTTTGGTCTTTTTACGAGGATAACATCAAACAAGATGGAAACACTGTGCTCAAGAGCCATTGAGTTAGCATAATTTATATGTATATCGATCCAACACATTTTGGTTGATCTTTTGGATTTGAAGGGCTTCGTCGTCGGAATTCCACAAAGAAACGATAATTTTTGGGAAAAAGATGTTTGCC